CTGTTACATTCTTAGGAATTATTTAAAGGGCTTAGGCCATGGAACATCGTCCATCTGAATTCCATGATAGTGGTAATCATAGATTAGCAAAATGTGAATTGGTGTCCGCGTTGAGTGACTTCAGTTGAACTTTCAGAAATTTCACGTAGAGATACATTAGCATCTATAAATTGTCTGACAATGGGAACAAATGGCTGCTGAATTTTAATTCAAAATATTATTAAAATACTGATCAAATTATCACTACAATTTAAAGTGTTAAAAAGAAGAAAAACACGTTCTAGACTTTCGAAGTCTTCAGCCCTATTCTTTTACTATCCTCCTGACAGTTTAATTACCGAGACAATGTCTTATTTTACTGCCGGAGTACAGTGGTGCGATCATGGCTTACTTCAGCCTCGACCTCCTGGGCTCAAGTGATCCTTCTGCCTCAGCCTCCTGAGTAGCTGGGACCACACGTGTGTGCCAACACACCCACCTAATTTTTTTTATGTTTTGAAAAGACAGGGTCTCACTATATTGCTGAAGCTGGTCTCAAACTCCTGGGCTCAAGCAGTCCTCTCGTCTTGGCCTCAAAGTGATTACAAGCATGAGCCACTGTGCCCAGCCTTCATGACAATTTTTAAAGATGTTTATCCATGAAACAAAAGGTTACTGATATTCAGATGTGTTTACAAGGACCAAATGTCACCACCTTTAATTCTCCCTAACAAATGCTTTGGGTGTTTTTAAGACTTAAAATGTCAGTCATATATTGTATTATTGAATTCTAGTATTTCTGGTATTTAATACATTATAGTGAGAGCTTTCAAATGGAAGCCCAGGATGAAAAATGTTGTATTTTACTTGTTAAAATTGCAATTTCACATATTTGCTTATCTGCACATTATCTATAGTATTTTTTAGCCTCATCTTAAGTAATATTTCCGAAATCATTTACATATGCTATTTTTATAAATTACATTAAATACAATTTAAAATCCATAGTATATACAAAATAAATATGTAACTATATTTGAATTGTCTCTATAATCATCCCAAATACCAGTGACAGCCATATTTTGGGTTACAATGAATAATAACAAGAATTTGAACTTTGGGGTGAAAAGCCTTAGATTCTAGCCTTTTCATCTTAAGTTCCTTTGTAAGGTTAACTAGTACTGAACCTCATTGTTTGCGCCTGTAAAACTAAAATAATCATGCCTCTGTACTATAGGCGAGAAAATATCTTTGAAAATATTTTGGGCCAGGTGTGGTGGCTCACACCTGTAATCCCAGCACTTTGGGAGGCCACAGCAGGCAGATCACTTGAGGTCAAGAGATCAAGACCAACCTGGACAACGTGGCGAAACCCCATCTCTACTAAAAATACAAAAAGTTAGTCAGACTTGGTGGGGCATGCCTGTAGTCCCAGCCAGTGGGGAGGCTGAGGTGGGAGGACCACCTGAGCTCAGGGAGTCAAAGCTGCAGTGAGCTGTGATCATGTCCCTGCTCTCCAGCCTGGGAGACAGGAGTGGGACTCTTGTCTCTCTCTCTCTCTCTCTCTCTATATATATATATATATATAGTATAAAGTACTATCAAATGAAACCTCTTTTTTGGATAATGGTCTTCCTAATGGCATTACCCTCCCAGCTTGGAAACTAATATTCCAGGGCTTACTGAAGGTATAGTTAACTAGAGTAGAGGCTGCAGTTGCCAAGACAATCTTCCTATTTCCTCCTCAAGGAAACTGACATCCTTTCCCCAAGTTCAGCCCCTCCCCGGTGCCCGGAAAGCCAGTACCAGACCATCCATCCATGCTGTCCCATTTGGAGGTAGGGCTCGGCCAGCCCAGCCCAGCCCAGCTCTTGGCTTCCCCATCGTTGGATCCTTGGACCACCTCTGTACAGAGGAAAAACACCCAGAGTGAAGAAAAGGAAACAGGTGGTTCAACTTCCTCTGCTTGAGGTCCAGGAAGGAGCAAATCTGGGCCCATCAGTGCATGTAGCAAGAACAGAGGAACCCCACTGGCTTTCAGTCCAGCTTCATCTAATAGAGACTAAGTAATTATGTGCTTTGTTACAAGAAAAGTCAAGTAGCTAATAAACAGCAGAACCAATATTTTAAAATGTCATCTCTCTTCCAGCTTGCTTTAATTTAGGCTGAGTAGGCTGCATGTCCTTAGGCCCTAGAAGACAGCTTTTGAGCCATAGACAGAACCACAGAAAGATCCAGTGTCTCCTAACACACCCCTTAGTGTTGTGTGTCTGTTAAGTCACTGGTGACCAGAGACATAAGGCTCCTGCAAAACAGAGAAAGCCAACGCCACACACTTCTCTATGTCCCGCTTCCAGTACCCACGCCCCTCTCCTGACATTCTCCCGGCATGCCTGACCTTCTAAAGCTGACTTTCAAAGTACCTGTTTCTTGAAGCCCTTCCCTGGCCAAACCAGCACCATTGTGTTGGCTCCTTTCCTCTGCAGCTCCTTGTCCCTTAAGCACCACAAATGTCACAAACTCACTTGCCCTTTAACTGTTAAGTCACTTGTGCAAGTTAACTTGACCCCAGCCCAACATGACAATTTTTTTTTTCATGACAGTGTCTCACTCTGTCACCTAGGCTGGAGTGCAGTGGTGCAATCACAGCTCGCTGCAGCCTTCACCAAGCTCAAGCAATCTTCCTGACTTAGCCCAGGAGTGCTGGGATTACACTACCACACTGGCCCCAACACTACCAGTTTTGAGGTCAGCCATGGTGTCCTACCAGAGGCTCAGCAAGTGCTGGCCAACTGACAAGTGAGTATTACCAGACCAAGGGCACAGACAGACACATGCACATAAAGGGGAGGAGAGGGTGAGCTCGGAGCTGGAAAGCTTTGTGGAGACCTGGGGTGATTCTGTCTTCCATCACTCTCCCCTTGGTCACGCAGCTCGTGCCCCAGAAAGAGCCATCATGTGCCCTGGTCTCTCTTCCTTCCCTCCTCTCCTCCTGTCCCCTGCCCCTGCTTAGCTGCTCCTCACCATTTACATGTCAGTTTAAACATCCCGTCCCACAGGAGGCCCTACCTGATCAGGTTAGGTCCCCTGTCAATTGCTCTTCAGCTCCCCCGTGCCTTGCTTTTTGAGCATTCATACTCATCAAAAGTAATAGGCATTTCTATCATTGTTTAATGTCTTTCCCCCATTAGAATGGAAGCCCTGTGAGGTCAGGGACCACATCTGACTTGTTCCCTGCTGCCATAAGTCCCTGGGCCTGCGGTACGCCAGGCACACAGTAGGCTCTGCATCCATGTCAGATGGTGAGGAAGCCAATAGGCATGGGTGTGAGCCTGGGCTTCTTTCGTAGCTTGATGAGGTGGGCGGCGGAGCCCCATGTCCCTGAGACCAACTGGGATGAAAGCTCACTGCACATGTCCAGGTGACGTAAGGACCCAGCAGATATGTGTGATAGCAAAGCTTTGCCCAGGAAACTACAGTCCCTTCGTCAGATCCCAAATTAAAGAAAAAGAATGACCCAAATCACCAACTATCAAACCCATGTCTCTCTATCTAGGCAGGTTGGTATTGCTGCTCTTGGCTTTGTTTGCATTCAGCCTTTTCTATCATCACCAGGTCAGCGGTCACATAGCATCTCCCATGTACCCGGCAGGTACTGGGTGCTGGGTCCTTGGATGCAAAGGCACGCGAGGCCTGGCACCTGCCCACAGGGCCCTCACAGTGTTATAAGAAAGACGGCAATGTAAGCAAATAATCTCGCTAGATGGGAACGCAAGCTATACCGGAGCTGTACAGGGAAAGGTCAGAGAGTGATTTGCTCTACCAAGGAGGCCTCAAAACACTTCACAGAGGTGACACCTTGACAGCTGGAATCAAGAGGAGTTTGCTAGACAGGGAAAGGGCCTTCAGAGAGAACAGGGCGTGCGGCAGTGCTGTAGGGCGGGGAGTGTGTCAGGGAACAGGCCTCGGGGCTAGCAGGAGATGAGGCTGAGAGGGGCAGGGTCCTGTCACGGGCAGGCTTGGGTCTCCACTGAGATACTGCACTTAATTCTGTGAGTCCAAAGAAAACCATGGCAGGGTTAAAACAAATGGATGATTCCATCAGATCTGTTTCAGAAAGGTAACAGCACGATCCCAACTAGCAAAGTGCCACCCCCTATAAACATCCCGGCACCATGTCCCTGAGAGCTCTGGGAGCCAGCCTTGGAGCCAGGAAGCCTCACCGAGCTTTGGGTACCTGGCATCCAAACAGACATCCTTAAAATGAATGTCACCAAAAAAATTGAGAGGGAACCAAGGTCACACAAGGCCCTTTTCAAGGACTCTCGAAGTGGGAGAAGTTGAAACACAGGAAAGAAGAATGCAGCAGTGCCCATGAGAGCGGCTCTGGGAGCATCACCTTCCCCTTTTTTGAGGAGTTTCAGGGAGCTGTTGACTTTGGAGGTAAGGAAGAGCCGTAACCTGGGAGGCCACAGCCAGACTGAGAGATGCAGCACGTGGAAGGCACAGCCAGGATCTCAAGGAGAATTCTGATCATGGCCGACACCGGCTGGACGTTTAGGAATTCCCTGGGAACTGCCACAAGGCCAATCATTCGTTCATTGAGCAAAAAGACTTAGCACCATATAGGAAAAGGGTGATACCCCAAAAAAGGATTCTAACAGCTGTATTCAAACACTAGCATGAATTCTCACAGAGAACTCTCTCAGGGAGCCACAGCAACACCATCATTGGAATGTGCCAGAAGGCACCCCTCTCCGTCTCCACAGAAGTTACTTGGAAACAAGCGAGTGGGGAAAGACTCAGATAAATTTGCGGCTTCTAGAAAATTACTCTTTTAGGACTGTGGAGAAAAAAAATTCATACTAAGTACCAGAAATGCAAAATATATGACTTTCACGTAGATGTGATGACTCTTGTCATCATCGCCGTCGTCACTCTGTCACCGTCAAATTTTAAGTCAGATTCTCTTCATGAAGAACTTCAGGGTCTGGTAAAGTTAATGGTATGTCAGCGCTTACCTTATCAATAGGCAATGGCCAAGATGTAAGAAAAGCTACAGTCCAATGGCAACAGTTTCCTTCCTGTGCAGAAGACACGTGTGCTATGGGACACTAGTCTTCACCTCCAGGAGTTTGAAATCATAGACACATGCATTAAGATGTGCAAAGCAATTGACCAGTGATTTATCACAACACCACCATAGGTAACTGTCAGTAAAAGCCCATTGTGTCCGGAGCTCCACAGCGATGCTGGGGGATGCCTGGTATTGCTCTAGGTACCCGGTGTCCTACTTGTGTGAGCAGTGCAGTCCCACACAGATGGCCCTGATTGGGAAGAAGTGCAGCTGTTCAGGCCCTCAGCTCGTCCCTGCGCTTCCCACCCTGTCCTTTTCCCCGATTCTTGTTGTGTCAGGTAGCACCTGCTTCTTCCTTCCCTATCCCCTCCAACAAATGGTGAGCTCCCAGAGGGCAGGGCCAAGTCTCATCCTCTCACTGTCCCAAGCGACTCACCAGGGCCTGGCATAAAGGAGCTGCTTGGTCCATACTTAACGGATGAATAGATAAGTGACTAACCTAAGAAAATTCTGCCATTAGGCATCTTGGGGATGCCTTACAAGAGAAAGGCATCGTTTACAAAAGGCTGCAAGAGGGCTCTTCACTTTACAGACCTGCATATCCAAGCTGGCCTGACCATTTCTACCCGGGGAGCTAAAACACGGAAGTTCTCAAACATGAACCTATGCTAGCATTACCAGAGGAGTCCCATTCAACCTCTAGGCTTTCTGCACAAACGACGTAGGACTGGGCCCAGGAATCTGCATTTCAACAAGCTCCCCCCTCCGACCCATTGTTCTGATTCAGGGAGTCACAGAACACACTCAGAGAACCCTTTTCAATTACCCTAAGAGCACAGACTTGGCATCAGATAGAGTCAGCTTTATCCCTGTTCTATTATATATTCACTAACTACACGGCCAAGTTGCACATGTTTTTTAAGCTCCTTGTACCTCAGTTATTAAAAGGGGACAGGTACAAATTCATAGAGAAATAAAGTAGAATGCTTGTGGGCAGAGTGGCTCATGCCTTGTAATCCAGCACTCTGGGAGGCCAAGGCAGGAGGATCACTTGAGCCTAGGAGTCTCAGAGCAGCTTGGGCAGCATAGGGACACCTTGTCTCTACAAATAATAATTTTTAAAAAGTTAGCTGGGCCTGGTGGTGCACACCTATGGTCCAAGGCACTCTGGAGGCTGAGGCCGGAGGATGGCCTGAGCCAGGGAGGTGGAGGCTGCATAAGCCATGATGGCACCACTGCACTCCAGCCTGGGTGACAGAGTGAGACCCAAGGATTCTACTTTCAGCATCCTTGCCAAAAGTAGAATGGTGGTTGCCGGGGGATATAGAAGTGGAGGATTGTCTAATAGATACAGAATTTCAGGAATTTTTTGTTTTGCTTTTTTTTTTTTTTTTTTTAGGATAGATTCTCGCTCTGTCACCTAGGCTGGAGTACAGTGGCATGATCTTGACTCACTGCAACCTCTGCTTCCTGGGTTCAAGCAATTCTCATGCATCAGCCTCCTGAGTAGCTGGGATTACAGGCATGCACCACCACACCCAGCTAATTTTTGTATTTTTAGTAGAGATGGGGTTTCCACCATATTGGCCACACTGGTCTCGAACTCTTGACCTCAGGTGATCTACCTGCCTTGGCCTCCAAAGTGCTGGGATTACAGGCATGAGCCACCACGGTCGGCCTCCAGAGTTTCAGTTTTGCAAGAGGGAAAAGCTCTGGAGATCTGTAGCACAATGTACATAGAGTTAACACTACTGAACTGTACACTTAAAAATGCCTAAGAGGGTGAATTGTATGTTACATGTTTTTGCCACAATTAAAAAGAGAAAGTTTTACTGGGGATGCATAATGATATCTACTTCAAAGTGTCGTTATGAGCATTACATGAAATAATGCACGTAAAACCCCAGACAGCTGGCCCCAGACTAGGAACTGCTCAAAAAATTATAGCTATTATTATTACCGAAACAAGGGCGTTAAAAAATTTAACTATGAGGCCAGGCACAGTGGTTCCTGCCTGTAATCTCAGCACTTTGGGAAGCCAAGGAGGGCAGATTACCTGAGGTCAGGAGTTTGAGACCAGCCTGGCCAACATGGTGAAACCCTGTCTCTACTCAAAATACCAAAAAAAATTAGCCAAACACAGTGGCACACACCTGTAGTCCTAGCTATTTGGGAGGCTGAGGCAGGAGAATCACTTGAGCCTGGGAAGGGGAGGTTGCAGTGAGCCGAGATTATGCCACTACACTCCAGCCTGGGCAACAGAGCGAGACTCTATGTCAAAAAAAAAAAAAAAAAAGACCAGGCATGGTGGCTCGCTGCTGTAATCCCAGCACTTCAGGAGGCCAGGGCAGGTGTATCATGAGGTCAGGAGATCAAGATCATCCTGGCTAAGACAAAAAAAAACCCGTCTCTACTAAAAACACAAAAAATTAGCCGGGCATGGTGGCGTGCGCCTATAGTCCCAGCTACTCCAGAGGCTAAGGCAGGAGAATCGCATCAACCCAGGAGGCAGAGGTTGCAGTGAGCCAAGGTCGCGCCACTGCACTCCAGCCTGGGCGACAGAGTGAGACTCTGTCTCAAAAAAAAAAAAAAAAAAAAAGAATAATTTACTATTTAAAGGCATTTTAAGTGAAATTATAGTCTGAAACTTCAAGCTGATAGAAGTTCTTTGTACTTTTTGAAACACTGACAGTTTTTGAGGGGAGCATTGGGCTATGAAACTTAAACTTATTAAGGCCAACTGCAGTGGCTCACGCTGTAATCCCAGTACTTGGGTAGGTCAAGGGAGGTGGATCACTTGAGGTCAGGAATTCGAAACCAGCCTGGCCAACATGGTGAAACCCTGTTTCTACTAGAAATACAAAAAGTGGCCGGGTGTGGTGGCAGGCGCCTATAATCCCAGCTACTTGGGAGGCTGAGGCAGGAGATTTGCTTGAACCTGGGAGGTGGAGGTTGCAGTGAGCCGAGATCGCGCCACTGCACTGCAGCCTGGGCAACAGAATGAGAGTCAGTCTCAAAAAATACATAAATAAATATAATCATTAAGGAAGATTTCAAACCCTCCCCAAAAATCCAAGTAGCTTTTTGATGAACTGCATTTTTCCAAATCCTGACCAATAGACTATTTTCATCTCACCTATAGATACATAGGTTAAAAAATACCACCCATATCATAGGTGGGTATGTGAGAGCCTAAGGGTGTTCGCGCTAGGCAGTCTCGTTCATAACACTAACATCCTCCATTTGCAGAGAAGCAGGAAACAGAACAAAAATGCTACGTTTTGTCTTGCACCTTAAGCTTCATTAAAGAAAATCAAGCAAAATCTGCCACCATAGAAGAAATGATCTCCGGGTCTTGAAAAACTACATGAAGTGTTTTAATCTTTGATGTGCACGCAGAACCCAAAGCAGATTCGAGAACATGGTACAGACTCAAGGCCACCATTGGGATTCTCTGCGCATCGTTTTGATTTTGCGTGCATCTATGCTGATTTCATCTCCCCAGCCTATTGTTTAAGGCCCAGCAGGACAGATGTGCTGTTTTACAGGGCCATAATCCACCTGGTGGGCGGATAACCAAGAAGCCTTTGGTCTTCATCATTTACTCCAATATTTCCAAAGTAGATGATCGTGTTGTAAAACAGCAGGTGATCCAGGCCCTGATTTCCATGTAACGCCAACCTACAGGACCTCCTTGGAACTTCCAACCAAATTAGTAAAATTCCTCCTGGTCATAGAGGTGGCCAAAATTAGCTTGAGGCTGAATGAAATTATGGAAATGACAATCTGGGGGTACAAACAGTAAAAACGAGAGGGCTGGGAAGTGACTTGGAATACAGGAGTTTAGGCCACACAGGTGTTCATATGAGTAAGAGTCATCATTCTAAGGCTGAGAAGGTTGGGCACTGCTGGTAAAAATTCTAATCCTAGTAGGCTTAGAATGTCTCTCAATCGAAAGGTAAATTCCCAAGTCACTGCTAAGGATTCCCCCATTTTTCTTTACCTCCATCCTGTGTATAATAAGTGACTACCTCTCAGCCCTCATCGCGGGGGCCCAGCACTCCGATCCCAGCAGCCCTGAGTAACAGCAGCATTGACTGCTGGGAAGTGGTACTTGTGAAATCCAAAAACGGGCTGCCATAGATGCAAATGGACCATCATCAATGTGCGTTAGGATTGCCCTAATCACCTCCAGATCTCAAAGGACCCCCTGCACGCCACTCACGCCAACAGGTCGAAGTGGGGTGGATTAGAATGAAGGGCTATGATTGTAAGTAGCAAAGGGAGGGGTGAAAAGAACACAAATAACCAGACATTAACTTTGGGTTCTGAGCATACTGCTTTCTGTTCATTAATCTATCTTTTGCTGATGCATTTAAAGAAGCTACCTTGTCTTCTTAATCTTTGATGAAGGCTTGAAGCTCTGAGACCCAAGCATCAGCCCCACCTCTAGCTTTCCCTAGTCACATGACCTTGGAAGATCACATCTTTTTTTCCTTCTTTTACCACTCTGGGCCTCAGTTTCCTCATCTAGAACAGGGCTTAGGTTATTTGACACATTCGATATAAGTATGGTAAAAGTTTTTAAAAAGTGAATCTGTAAAATGTGGTTATTTCAGATTTCAGAGATGGCGTCCCATCTTAACATTCAACAGATCAATGATTTATTTGTTACAGACTCATGTCTCTGGTAATTTTTTTTTTTTTTTTGAGGCAAAGTCTTGCTCTATTGCCTATGCTGGAGTATAGTGGTGTGACCTTGGCTCACTGCAAACTCCGCCTCCCAGGTTCAAGCAATTCTTCTGCCTCAGTCTCCCGAGTAGCTGGGACTATAGGCACACACCACATGCCCAGCTAATTTTTTTTTTTTTTTTTTTTTAGTAGAGACAAGGTTTTGCCATGTTGGCCAGGCTAGTCTCAAACTCCTGACCTCAGGTGATCCACCTGCCTTGGCCCTCTGAAAGTGCTAGGATTATAGGCGTGAGCCACCGCACCCGGCCGTCCCTGGTAATTCTAGTTGTCTTCTGTAAGTGTGTGCCAACAGACTCATCTCTTTACACTCAGTACAATCCTACCTTGCGTTTTCTCATCACCTTATCATGTTACCTCTCAATTATGTTACAGCAAAGTGGTAGGATTTTGCCATTAACCTGATGGTACAATTTTTTAAAACAATAATTAGTTGCCAGAATTTATTCCTGCTTTTAAAATTCTACATAATATTTCAAAAATCTATAGGGAAGTATTTACATTTTCCTTCCACAGATGTTTTCTGCTTGATTTCAAGAGTTAACTGAACAGTTTCCTGTCTTGTGTCTGATGTGTTTTTCCTCTCTTTAAATTTTCCTCTCCTCTCCTTAAATATTCCATAAAATGCTGAAGATTTTTAATTTTTTCTCCTCGTTAGGAGGAAAAAAGAAACCTCTCCTCTGTAATTTACTTTGGCTTTCTCAAAAGTTGGGTAGGAAAGTCAGTATAATTCAGGTGGAATCTAAAATGTTCTTGTTGTACGAGCGTGCACAGAAAGGAAGCCTATAATTTCGAGCATTCTTTCAGGAAGTTTGTATTCTCTGTTTTCCAGGGAGCCTTTACTTTCCAAGGGAGTATGATCGACATGCCGTTACTGAAGCAAGCCCAGAACATTGTTACGCTTGCCACCTCCATCAAGGAAAAATGATCTGTTCAATGAAGCTCTCATCAGGTGGGCTGAACATATACAGTGGGTTTCTCAAAGACAATCCACAATACTCAAGGCAACTTGTTAGTATGCCAGATTGGGACCTGACTTCATTTGCAGTTCATGTTAATCACGATTTTGTTGTTGTTGTCTTACTGGCCACTCCCCGTTTTTCCTTTTGGATCCAAGCTGATGATTTTGTCATTTTAAGTGTATTACAAATATGGGCTTATGATTTCACAGGGGGATGAGGTCGTGGGGCAAGATGCGCTGTGAGGGGAAGGTAGGTCTTGAATGAAACAGATCTTTCCCAAATAGACAGATTCCCCCCTACCCTTCTCATGTTAGCAGATGTTTCCGGCTCGTTCATTTGCACAGCTGACACCACAGACAATTTTAAGAAAGGCCAGGCCTTTAAAAAATAGTAACAACATTAAGGGGTCATGTCTGTTTCGCTGGTAATCTGATAAAACAACAGAGATGGCATCAAAAAGGTTACTAAGTATTACATTGGCTTATAAAGATACCTTCTAAAAATAAACTTTCAAAACTGGTTACTGTTAACCACCCCCAAAATGAAACATCCAACTCCTTGAACCCCTAGATGATGAGCAGGAAGGCTGTCATCCTGGGTGAAGGCTGTGGGCCAACCATTGCCGGCAATTAAAAACTAAATGTGTAGAAACACAAGATGGTCCATTCTCCCCCTTTATTTTCCCGTTTAACTGTTTGCCATTGAGGCCACTTCCCCCTGGAAATGTATGGCCGGGACAGGACTCCCTCAGTCATAAACTTGTAGCGTCTCAGAAGACACAATGCACCCGAGCTGGTGCATGTGGCCCCTGCGAGATTTGCATCACATTAGAGATGCGGCTGCAGGTCAGATGGGTGGTGTGGTTAACGGGCTTAGTAAAGCTGTTTTGAAGAGGTTAACCCAGCTTGTAGTAAGGGTAAATAAACATAACAACCAGCCATTGTTCCCTATTCAGCATGTACTCTTATATTGAAGGCTAAAGGGTATTGAAGCTGCAGAGGGATCAACTTGTGCTTGCCAGAGGACGCCAATGAAGTTTGAAACACCAACAATCAGAGATTTTGTTTCTGTTCCTCATTAAATCATGAGCTTTTGTGCCGAGACTCTGGACGACTGTTCCTTAAGAAATTAACAGAATGGGAAGTTTAAAACTCTACACCAACCTTTTCATGACCTACACAGCAGCAATGCTGCTACTCTTAGACAAACACCGCGGGGAAGGCTGTTCTGTTTATTTAAATTTGTAAATAGAAAACAGTTGTTTTTTTACTTTCATTTTTCACCTCCTCCTACGCCCTTTTGGATTATTTCCTCTGCGGCCCCTAGCATGTGCCCCAGCCAGGGCTCTCCTCTTCCCCACTTCCTGCAGTTCCTATAGGAAGCCCGGGAGGTGAGTGGAGCTGAGGTTAGACACTAGGAGAGGCACCATCAAATGAAAGCACGGCCGCAGAATCCCACCGCCACCAGGTGACCCCCCGCCCACCCCAGTGCACGGCAGACAGGGACAGTCATGCAGGCAGCCAGCACCGCACCAGGCAAGATGGCTCTGAGGATGCCCATTCTGGAGACACCAACTCATGCTCCCAAACACAGGATCCAGGAGATAGCTCACTCCTAAATGGAGATGGTACACGCTCCTTGGGGTCCCTCATTGAGTGACACCCTCCACCCTGCTTGCCCTGTGCTGCCCCAGAGTAGTCGGAAAGGAAGGTGGAAGCTAGCCCCATCCTCACTCAGAGGCCGGAAAGAGGAAGATGGCATCCTGCCAACTTCAGAGCCGAACGGCCCCCAGTCACACTGCTTCCAGACCCCAGACGGGGCAGCAGCAGCAGTTCCCGAGGAACACCCCCAGCACCCATTTTTGCAGCTGGGTCTCACCCAGGATGGGAATCCTGGAATCAGGTGCGCACCAGGTAACCCAGGACCATGCTGCGAACGCGCAGTCTGCCCCTGTGCTCAGAACACAGAGGGACGGGAGGATGGCTTGGCGGTAGGAAGGCAAAGGAAGGCCTCCTCTCACCCTGACGCTGCCATACACACCCACTCAAGGTATTAGAAGCAGCGGAGGCAGGGCTGGCCCTAAGCAAAAGAAGAAAATAAACCCTGCCTCAGCCTTTCCTATGGTCAGCCCTCACCCCAGTCTAACTACCCTTCCCATCCTCCAGGATGATCCAGAGAAGCCCTTGGCTAGAGGGGATGATGGGCCTGAATTCCAGGCTCCACCCTGGCCCCACAAGCAGCCAGCCTGCCCCACACAGAGGGGCCTCCTCAAGGCCTCACTGACAGCCTCACCTCCCCACCCAGGAAGCCCTACAGACCTGGGGAAAAGCAGACCCCTCTACCAGGTCCCTAGCTGGTGCTGAGGCCAGACCAGCTAGGCCTCCCACTGCTGGTCACCCCTAGGCCACAGGTTTCTAGGTCCCAACCACATGGGACTGCTTGCCACGCCCCTGCCCTCATCCCAAACAAAACCACCTTTTTTAGTCTCCCCAAATATCCAGTTATCATCTTCCTACTAAGCCAGTGGTCCCAATTATGGTAGGATCATGAGACTAGGTCCTATGAGAGCCACAAATCTGGACTGAAGTCCCATTCCCTGAACAGAGACCCAAATGAGGAGGGCCCGAAGAGTCCAGTCCTGGTCAGAGACCCAGAGTGCCTTAGTCCTTGAAGGACAAAACTCCAGGAAGAAGATGCTAGAAGGCAAAGGGTATTCCCCCTCTTTCCCCACCTGAATCTCTGTAGTGCCATGGGTGGGGCAAGGTACCCTGGGAAGGGTGGGAGAGCAGCCGGGGGCATGTGAGTCATCTCCACTGGGCACGCCAGACACCCCGACATGGGGAAATGAGGGCTGCCAGACTCCTGAGCCAGGCGTGGGCGACAGGAAGAGGACCTTGCAGCTAATCTGATTAATTAGAAACAATACCTGTTTATATTTTGTGTAGCTCATCACAAGCTGCTTAGCCATATCACCCCCCTGTTATTAATTCTTGGGGTCTAAATTATGGGTAACACTATTAAAACATTATCAGAACTAATGAGAAACAATTACTTAGAAAATGAGCCAGGACAAGATTGAGTTGAGAACATCAGTGGTGATCACTGTGGATTAGTTTAATAAATCATCAGGTGCAAGGCAAGACTGACTGGATGTATGCAAAGCCCCGTCACGGGAAAATGAAATTGAGATTTTTTTTTGCATAATTTTTTCATTAATCTCAATAGGACCCGTGTGGTGTAGATTGCTTTATTCCCCTAATACCTTGCCTGAGGGGGGGTGCCCAATAATGTCTTCATTGTTTTACTGAGGTCTTAATGACAATCTGTGACAACCTCATTTTAATGTATAGAGGATTATATCAATACAGTCATGTTTTATTGAAATGGTGAAGGGAACTCCAGTCAGAGTCGGGCACTGTCCGTGAGCACAAGTTGGGAAGTTTCTCGGCATCCGGGAGCCTTCCTGCCTGATGTCCCAGTGTTAGTCCACCGGCCGCCCTCCCCTCCTCTCCTGGGATGAAGACTTCACGGCCTCCAATTTGAATTTGAAAGTAACTCCTTCCCTGGCATATTTCGCTGGGCAGATAGAACAAACCATGTTGTTTTCCCCTCCCCCGTCTCTAAAATAGACATGCTATTATTCACACTTTTGCACCCAGTCGTTTTGCGGGAGTTCGGGAAACTGACTTGGTTCGTTGGGGACATTGTCATTTTCTTATGATGCCACGAGGAGAAAAAATAATATACGGTTTTGTTTTGTTTATTTTAATCTGAAGGATTAAATCTGCTCTTATGATTTCGGTTTACCTTGGAAAATTGAATCTTCCGTGTTTTATTTCTTTCCTGTAGTACTAGAAAAGCAATAAATGGCACAAAACAGGTTCTGAGATGGCCCGCAGGCCCCGAGCTCATGGACGCGGCCGGAGGTCGAGTCTGACCCGCGGAGCCCCCGCTAGGATTCCCCGCGCATCTTCGGGGGAAGTGGGGGAGGCATGGCCAGACCCAGCATTTAGGCGTGAAAGTCTTCACCTTTCTCTCCGCGCTGTATTTCCCACGGACGGAACAGGACAGCCGAGCGCGGCCCTCACAGAACATCAGTGACTTTCCCAGACCCCGCTCGGCGCCCGCAAGTCCACGCGTGGGACCTGGCAGCTCCGCGCCAGCCGGTTTTGGGGGTGGCAGTGTTCGCTCGTTTAAATTCCAGTTGTTATTTGGCAGTTTGTCGCCTTCCGAATTCATGAGAATTGCCAGCGATGGAAAGAGTGACCTGCGGGAAGGGGCCGAAGCCGTTGTGAGCGCCCGGGCGGCAGCTCGAACCCCGCTTCCGCCGAGCGCGCCGCAGCCTGCTGGGCGAGTTGTCTTTTGACAAAATCTTTTGGGACTTCTTTGTCCCTCACGCCCTTACTTTTAAATGATTTTTATTTTTATTTTTCCACTATAAGTGACCGGCTGGGTTTTACTTTTGCTTTTTCCAACGGGAAGGGCACAGCGAACCGGGGTGGGCAGCCCCGCGGGCAGGAGGAGCGCTGGGGACACGCGGTGGCCGCAGACGCCGAGCCCTGCGGAGCCCCGAGGCTGCCTCCCCAGCACCCCGGGTGCGTGCGGAGCCAGAGCTGGAGCCAGGGCTGGGCCGGGGGGGCGGTGCAGTGGCCCAAGAGGCCGGGACTGTGGGCCCCACTTGCCCGCCCGCCGCGGGCCGCCCGGAGCCCGCGCGCCTGTCGCGCAGCCCGGCTGTAATGGTGGCAGATCAAAGGCAGCCCCGTGTCCCCGCGGAGCCCGGGACCATCCCGCGCCTTTGTGCGCTGTTGCTAGGAGCCGGAGAAACTAAGAGAAAGTGTCAGGAGCATGTTAATCAGACTCGTTACACTGTAACAATAACGTCTCTCTCGGGTCTCCCAGGCCCCAGCACCCCCGCGCACCCCGCGCTCAGGCCGGACACCTGCGCGGGGCCCTCGCGCCTGCCCTGGGGTCCTGCCGGCCCCGGGGTCCCTGCAGCCCCGAATCCGTGCCGGGGCCACGCGCAACGATGAGCCCGGAGAGGCCCCAAAGGCACCTGGTGCAGCAGCTCCCTGGCCGAGGTCTCCTTGACCAAAGCCCCGGCCTCACCCCGCTGGGCCGTGAGCTGGAGGGACGCAGGGGTGATCCCGGTCCCCTGCTTTTCGGTCCTCCAGAATCGCCCATGTTGTTCAATCGCAGTATTCGAATCAAGAGAAAAATGAACATTCCCTTTCTGGTAACTTTTTGGTTATGAGTTTTTGCAAAACTCTTAAGTCAACTTTGCTGATTTCCCTTGGGAATCCCTGGAGGCTACTCTAAGTGGTAATCCCAAGTTTAAGAAGGAAGGGGGGAAACATTGCTGAGAGTAAAAATGTCCCCAAACTTTTTGAAGAGAATTGCTTTATTCATTCATTTAGTCATTCAACAAACACCTGTTGAACCCGACTGGGTGCCAGAGGGGCCAGTCTCAAAGTCACAGGACTTATTCCAGATGAAATTTTCTTTTGAAATTAGAACGCCCTTGGGGAAGTCAAAGGAGGAGCAGGGGCCTAAAATAATGTCAAGTGTCAAAGCAAAAAGAAGTGCCATTGGCGATTACAGTGTGTGGTGATAACAAGAGAGGTGCGAATTAGGAATTAAAAACGTTTGAAAAACTGCAGGCCATATGCTTTGAAACCAGCCACTTTTCCACCCCTTTCATCTCCCTTCCCCTCCGCTTTCAGTGGGCAGGAGCTCTGCCATGCTGCAGTCTCCACCCCGTCAGAGGCCTGCCTGAGGTCTGAGGAGTGAGGCCAGGCCTTCTGTTTGTACACAGCCTTTCAAACTTGCAGAGAGTCACACTCCATCCTGGCCCCATTCCCCCTTTGCCCATACGCAGAGAATTGGAACACTGTCCTCAGGCTTAAGGCTCTTGTTCAAGAACCAACCCATTCTGGAAGGGGTAGAAGGGGGCCAGACTTCCAGAGTCTAGCTGCCATACCTAAGTCACAGGACAAAGCTGGCTGTCACCAGGATAGGTATAAGACAGCCTCTCAACTCACCTGTGCCTACCATTGACCAAGGAGGAATCCCGACACTGTGTGAGGCTCCTCTGTTGGTGAAAATTTCTCTGTCTCACTATTGCATGCAACATGTAAACATACAGAAACTGGGTCGGGCACAGTAGCTTGTAATCCCAGCACTTTGGGACACTGAGGCAGGCAGATCACTTAAGGTCTGGAGTTCAAGACCAGCCTGGGCAACATGGTGAAACCCCGTAAAATACAAAAAAGTAACTGAGCATAGTTACGCATGCTTCTAACACCAGCTACTCAGGAGGCTGAGGCGGGAGAATCTCTTGAACCCAAGAGGCAGAGGTTGCCCGGACCCTGCCTCTGCACTCCACACTGGGCAGCAAGGGTGAAACTCCGTCTTAAGAAAAAGAAAACTGGACACATTCCTTGGGGATTGGACCCCCAGGCCTGGAAGGAACTTTAGAGATTCCTTTCATCACATAAATAAAAGAGGCGATATGCTGAAAACTCCATCTTACAGAAAACAAGGGAGGCCGAGCGCTGGCTATGTGATGATGCTGAAATAGCTGGCTACAGGGGAGAGATTCAGTGACAAGAAACTGGATTTTTTTTGGGTTATATAAGGCCAAATAGCTGGTTTGGCTGGGTTCTGTTTTGTTTTTAAATACTGAATCAAATTTCCTTCATAATCAGATGCACTAATAGAATCAAGAGAAAAATGAACATTCCGTTTCAGAGAGCTTTGTGGTGGAGAGTTTATTCTGAAGACTACACACTCTAGGCATCTGGCTTAATGTTAAAAAGGGGGCGGGGGTTGGTCTTTTGAGTCCTGTGAAAGGAAGAACGTAAAAACCAGCATGAACTTCTGGCTTAGATTTTCTAGGAGAATTGTGCTGGCTAGTAATCCAATTCCCAAATGAGGACAAGGACACAGCCATTTTCCCCATCTAATTTCCAGGGCCTGGAATTCATGTATCAGCTCTCAGGGGAGCTTTAGGGAGCTTCTCCCAGGCTGGTAGAAGGGAGCTCCGACCACTGCCTATCCCCAGCCCTGTGTACTCATATCAGTGACAGCATGGCTCTCTCAAGAGGCCTTGGCCACTGTCCAGACTGATCTTTTCTGAAGCCTTTGTGCAAGCTGTAACCCCCCCTTCTCCATGACACCCAGCAAACACCAAAGCATTCTTCAAGACACAACTTGAAAGCCACACCTGTGAGGTCCTCCCAGCTCCCCCAGAGACAACTTGCAACTCTTCCCTCAGTCCTGCCATTGCATGGATAGGATTTTCACCAGAATACTTGTTTAGATGTGTGTGTCCCCAAAAACAGTGTGGATGCCTCGAATAGTGGACATTGTCACACATCCCTGATCCCTCTCCTGCTCTCGCCTCTCATCCCCAGCATGAGCTTGTGGAAAATGTGCTCATTACAATCAGGACCGGAGCTTCCCTCCTCCACTTAGGTTCTGATCCTGGCTTTAGTACTAATGGTTACGTTACGTGCAAACAGAACAAGAAGCCATTTATTCTCTCTGAACATCAGTCTCTTCAACTACCCAAATAAGAATACCTAACTCCAAGAGTTGCTGTGAGGATGTGGAAATCAGAAAGCTGCACCACTTCCAGGATCCCCACTTGCTAGGCTGGGGAAATGCAGTCAGCAGACAGCTCCCCACCTTGCTGCCTTGCCCAAGACCCTTCTAAGGCCCCCCACCATTTTGGCCAGATGTGGGACACTTTGATGGGGCATATACAAGCCAGAGTTTCCAGTGGGGTTAGCCAAGACTTTATTGGGTCTGCTTGGCCATTCAACTTCTTGACGCTAATCCTGAGTCCTCCTTACTTTCCTGGACGTTGTTCTTGATGCTAATCCTGAGTCCCCTTCCTTTCCTGGAGGTTGTTCTCTAGCATCTTGCACCCCAGTGTCTGTCTGAGCATCTGCTTCTACAGCAGTAACCTATGACAGAGGATGAAATAAACTAGTGTATTCAAAAGCACCTGGCATATGGTGGTTGCCAGGGGCCCGGGGGAGGGGGGCAATGGGGAGTTGCTGTTTAATGGGTACGGAGTTTCTTTTTCTTTTTGAGATGGCGTCTCGCTCTGTCACCCAGGCTGGAGTGCAGTGGCACGGTCTCAGCTGACTGCAACCTCCGCCTCCTGGGTTCAAGCTGTTCTGCCTCAGCCTCCCAAGTAGCTGGGATTACAGGTGCCCGCCACCACACCCAGCTAATTTTTGTATTTTCAGTAGAGACAGGGTTTCACCATGTTGGCCAGTCTGGTCTCAAACTCCTGACCTCGTGATCTGCCTGCCTTGGCCTCCCAAAGTGCTGGGATTACAGGCATGAGCCACCACGTCTGGCCCCAAGTTTCATTTTTGC